TTTTAGGATAAACCAAGAGTTCAATAAAGGAATCGTTAAATTCATTTACTATTACCTTTTGTCGTGTCTTCATATAGGCGTGATTGTGATATTGTGTCTTATTTAATTCAACGGATTGAATTAAAGTTTATCGTTTAAGTTTACAGATACCAAGCCAACAACGATGATTTAATAGCAATATCACCGAAAGGGAAATATATTGCTATTTATGATAAAAAAAACAAAGCTGTTGTCTGGTGGACGCTCGATGAAGAAATTGAAGTAATTGAAGATGAAAACAAGACAAGTGATGATGAAATTGAAGAAATTGAAAATGAAAATAATAAAAAAAAGCGTAGTAATGAATTATAAATAAGATAAACATTTAATTCATCTTATTGATAAATTTGATATAATTTCAAAGTTGTGTGTCTCTGATCAAAAGAAGATTGTGTATATTTTATATCTTCATTATTAAAAAATACTTCATTCATATATATTCACGTGATGTCCAGTGTCCTTATTTATTATTGTAATCAAATTTTCTTTATCATTATTAGATATAATTGATATGGATGACCCATCTAAAAAACGGAATTGCGTTTGGATTTTATGTGAATATAATACAACATTGTGAATTTAACTTTAATGGAGATCTTATTTTCTCTTGTATAGTTAAGAACTACAAGCGTTCAGCAATAAGTATCGTTTGCGTTTATTCAATACAAGCCAAAACTAATAAAGCAAATTGTCACAAGATTTTTAATTTTCTGAAGAAGAGGAAGTTATAAATATATCGAAATATAATAGAATTTTATTACGTTCAAAAGACAGGATATATGAATGGGTTGTTCTTACTAGTCATACTACTATTATAGTATAGCCAAAATTATGTTTGAGATAATCAAAAAATTTGATTATTAATTTTTATCCGTTAGAAAAATAATATTTGTTTTTAAAAATATAATCATTTAGACTAAAACATAAGATATTGGAATCACAACTAATGAAGAATATACCTGACTAAAAATAGATAATGATATTATTGTTTATTCAAGTAAATTGGGAGTTCCTATTACGACATTGAATTTAAATAATGGTATGGTTTATTTTAATTAAATTTATGAAAATTATACCATTTTTTGCACTTATTAACACTTTTTTTTTTTCTAGATATACGAGAGCAACTATGTATAACTTTATTAAAAATTATTCTGACTCAGGTTTTTATTATTTGCTTTGCTTAATCATGTTTTACTATATTTAATTATTGAAGATTCACCAAATCTTCCTCTATTTTATAAGTTAAATTCGAAATAGTTTGCGTTTACAATTAAAGATAAATGCATTAAAGCTATTGAGAACAAATTTTATAAGTTCATTAATAATCATTAATTATGATAGTTTAACATTTTTAGAACTTAAGAATGTAGATAAAGGCTCTATCATATGGAAAATTAAAATCGAAGAAATGCTGGAAAAATATTTAATCTCATAATAACAAGGAAAATGGAAATCAAGGATGAACTTGTAATGTTAATGAACAAATGAATTTTTTAAAGCATTTATTTATTCGGAACTAGGTTTGAAAGGTTTCTTGATCAGAAATCAAAGAAGATAGATAAACAAGGGGAAATTATCAAAGAATTTATTAAACTAATAACTGAATCTGATAAATCGATAAATCAAAATAAAAAATCAATTGATGAATTTATTAAAAAGATGGAGATAAATAAAAATAAAAATTTAGTTGAAGATATTAAAGATGCTCATAAAATAGTGCTATCATATTTTGAAGACGGAAATACAGCTGAAATCGATGATGAGTTGGCAAAAGATTTTCTTGAACGATTAACTAAATAGAAATAGTTAGAAAATGATCAAAATCAATGGGAGTCTAAAACTAATGAATTAAAGAGTCATTTAATTAAACGATTAAAGGCGGTTAAAGATATATTTAAATGTAGAAAGATTGATATTGGTATTTCAATCATTGATACGGATATTAATTTAAAATATTTTATGTGTTTATTTTTTCTAGTAGGAACAATGCAACAAATACTTGCGAGTAAATTATTAAACGATAATGCTATCGTTATTTTAACAAAAAATGGCATTTTTATTTTCTATTTAAATAAATTTTTATGAGGTCAATATCTTTGAATGATTTCACCGTATGTACAAGCCGGAAGGTATTAATAAAAAATTCAGAAAAATGTCGGGACCATTGAACGTTGATAAAGCTGATCAAAATATTTATGATGAATTCATTTATGGATATGTATCATATGTTAAAGATAGCAATAAAGACTTTTTAAAATATGGCACAGCATTATTAATGTTTGCTATTGAAATGTCTAAAATTCTTAATCAAGATTTAGAAGTAAATAAGTTATTTTTAAGTATTATTACTAGATAATTTCCATTATTTAATGAATATTATCCTGAATATGTTGAAAGATTTTCATCAGATACTAGATGATAACAGATTCCTCAGTTTATGAAATAGTCTTTTATAGTGTTTCACATTTGAATTAGTGAATTTATCTCCATCGATATTTTGGATCAAATTTACTCGTCGAATGTATGAATACCTTAATATGCGAAAACTTTCAAATGGAATCCCATTAATTCTATATGTAACAAATGAAATCTTAATATTTTTATTAACGTTACCTATTTCCCTTCCAATCATTCATATTTTAAATTATTTTCATATGATTAATAATTTTAATGTTTATGGGTTTGCTTGGTGTTATTAATTTTTTTGTGATTTTATATCTCGTAAAATTGATTCAGTATTTTCTGAAGGCAATAAACTTACAATTACCTTTATGATTCCTTATATCAAATTTGTTAGTTATCCAAAAAAATATGGTTGGTTACGGAAATTTTGTAAACCCGAACCTAGTCCATTCGTAAAAACGATAAACAGGGAGATGTATAAAACATGGAATGGTGAAGTATTAGTTAACTTCAAGTGGAATGTATATGGATTTTATTATCATATGTTAATTTTGATAATATAACTTCTTTACTTGGATGCTTTACTGTCGCTTCAACATTTCCTGAAAATTACATATTTGAAAGTATCAGAAAAATCTTTTAATCGTTACAATTATTCTTGGATTTATTCATTCAAATATTGAATTTCGTCAGTTTGCCTATGATCCTGTCGAATGGATTATTGATCTTTGGAACTATTTTGGTATGAAATTCATTAATTCATTTATTTATTACATACGTCACGATATACATACTGATAAGTAATTTTTTGCTTTCTCTTTCATGTCTTTTGTTAGATTTTAAGTTTTATTATTTTTAGAGCCTTTCAATATTTGGATTCTATTTTGTAATTATCCTTGTGTCGCGAAGAGAATAGCTTCCTTCTTATTCGTTTTATTTATCATACTTTTAAGTTTTGCCCATGCTTTTTTGATTATTTTAAGACCAAGACAAATTTATAGTTTAGAGTATCCACCTTCAACTACAAATAATGATAGTAATAATCCTTGGAAATTAACTAATAGTTATGTTCCATACAATGAGATGGTACTATTACATCAGATACTTCATTTGTTCAACGACCTGATACAAACAAACATGTTTACGAGTTATGATATTGCAATTATTTATTTCTTACAGGTATGTATTATTTATTAGTTTTTTTTTTCTTAAATCTTTTGTAATAATTATTTTATTCAAATTATTTTACTTTCAATAGGAGATTCAAGAGCTTTATCTAACTGGGAATATAAAGAGGATCCATCTTTTACTTTCTTAATTATGAATTTGTTGATTGGATTACTTGGTAAAGCTATTGAGAAAGATAACAATGAAGCTCCATATTTTATACAAAAGGAAAATGTATTTATAATATATGTACATGTTTACTTCGTTTAATAATAAATATTTTATTTATTTTTTATCTTTTTATTATAAAAATATATAGATTTTAGTTATTTTACTTATTTCCAAATCAAAGACGTTGGAAAACCTGGTTTCCCAATGTGATGTATGCTTTATCTGTGATTTTCTCAAAAAATTTTCTCATCTTTGGTTCAAATTTTATTAAATCATTATTTATTATACTGATAGATATTATCATGCTGATTTTGATGAGACGTATAGAAAAATTAGGGAACTAATTAAAGAGAATGAATGGGATTCTGATCAATTTCCAGAAATGAAACAAAATTTGTTAAACAAGCTCAATATTCAGGAAAAGTCCGATAAAGATATGTTAGACATACTTTTAAAAAAGTTGAATGATATATATAAAGTTCAGAATGAAATAAAAAATTCCTGAATGTATTAGATTTTTAATTTTCTGTACATTCTATGAAGATATACAGTCAGAACTCTCTCCCCGGCTTATTATAAATACTTTTGAAAAAAAAATAGTTTATCAAAATTATTAACGATTTTTATTACGAAAAAATTTTAAAAAAATCGTTTATAAGAATTCATTAAGTGATCGTTATATTAAGAGTTCGTTATAACGAGTTCCGAACGTACATACTTTTAAAGGTTGAACCGGTTGAAAAATTTTTGGCCGGTTCTAACCTCTACATACTTTCAATATTTTTTTTTATATTTAAATATTTATATATAAATATACTGTATATTTGTTTCTTAAATAAAAAATTCATTATCAATATTTTTCCGATTTGTTTATCATTACTATATTATTATTAAAGTTTTAAAATACATTACCTAAGTAATCTAAAACTAGAAATACATTTGCTTATTTTACAGAAGGGAATCAAGACAATGATGAGTAAAGTACAAGCTAAAAAATTTATAAATGCAATAGATTATATCTTATCTCAAATTAAGGGTAATGATCCGAAACATAAATCTTGTTCCGAGCCGAAAATATCGGATTATGTCTTTTATCGTCTATTGGAACGAACCAAACCGGATAGATTTTATTGGATTAATCAGAACCGTTCGGAGCTTTAGTTAAGGTTAACCTAAATATGGCTATCTTAAGTTACATAAATTTGACTGAATCATTAAAAATTTATATCCTGAATTTGCATTTCAATAGTATTTAACTTGGTAAAATTCTGATGAATGAGTAACTTATCGCCTAATTTTTCAATATTACAATGCTTAAATAGGTTTATAATCAAAGTATTAAAATTCCAATCATCTTAATCATGAATAACACATAAATTTTTATTATTTAAGAATTTTGAACGAGCATCTATTTTCTTTAATTCTTATTTATTTTAGAATATAAATCTATAAAATAGTTTACCAAACTACGTATCATTTGTCAAAGATTTTATACTACTTATTTCATTTACAAGCTTGAATAATAGATATTCGAACAAAACATCATTTTATAGAAAGTTTCCTATTTTTCAGCTTATTAGTAACCTCTCTTGTTATAATATATTTAAGCATTTATTTTTGTTCAATGTATTGCAAAAAAAAATAGTTACAAAGTCAAATAAATTAAAAAAATTGTAATCGATTTTGCATAATATCACGGAACTGCAAGATTACCAATTAAAAAGAAACCTTGCGGTACACTGTCATCTAATTAAATCAAAATTATTTATGGCATATTAGGTTATTTTATAATATATCGTTAATTTGTCTTATAATAAATTTCTTAATAAATTGTCGTAATTTAACTTTTTTAATAACTCTGGATTCTTCTTGAAGTTGCCATTTCAAATTTCGCAAAAGTATTCAATATAACTGTCTCTTTCAAAAGATAGCTTGCTTTTTCTTTTTTTTTTTAAAAAAAAAAGAAAATCCATTAATATTTTGAAAATACTAAATAAACTTTTTAACCAGAAAAAAAATTTATTTTAGGGTTGCAAGAAAACGAGGTATATTATATTTATTACTTAATTTATCAAGAATTCATTAAAGTTTCGCATATTAATTAATACGCAGTTATTAAATGTTAAAGATTTCAGATAATTCAATGGGAAAATGCTTCTCACTTACCTTTGGCGATTTGTCAACTTGCAAACAGTTTCCGTTTTGTAATTCTTAAAAATACTTGGATTAATAAAACACTTAGAGGATTTGAATTAAAATTTTGTTAAGGTTTGGGAAATGACATTAATTGTGAAAGAATTTCCCTATCTTTATAATTTCGTTAAACTTATATATATTTTATTATTATTCATCAAAAAAAATTGAAGGACATTTAACACATATTAGATTTGAAATCTAAAAAGAGAATTTGGACGGAATTCTTGAAAAATGAGAGCTCAAAAAAAAAGAACAAAAAAAATTCTATTGCCAACATAATTTGGAGCAGAGATTGCGCAAAATTTTTTTTTTGAATATGCTATACCAATATTCGTTAATTTACATAAAATAGTCTGGTTATTTATTTTATTGAAGATAGTGGAAAGTTTGTCGTCGATATCGAGATAGTGAATTCAAGCGAGGTACAGGACAAACAGTTGTTTAGCCGCATAATGCCATCAAGATGCGGAATTTTCGATTTTTCCCTTTCGATATCTAATTCATTTGTAAATCTTCTTTGTAGAAAAAGACGAAGCTTGATAATATTGATTTTGATGAAGTAAGTTAACTATACTCGAGTATTCTCAATGAACAATAAAGATACATTGGCAATGTTGGTTTGAACATATCAAGTATCACTTCGGTCTAATGACAGGAAATTTTTAGACTTTGATTCCATAATAGCACGTCGCATTGTAATTTGGGAATCATTTATAAGAAATTATTAGTGACATTTGTATTCCAATTTTTCAAAATATGGTATACCATCTCAATATCGCATGTGAGATAATACATAAATAGATTTTTTGTATCATAATAATTTTTTAGTTTGCATAAAATCTATTTGAAGTATTAATTTAATTTTTTAATAACTTCGTGGCTGTAATTTATGCATGAGCTAACATAATAGACAATTGAATCATTTTCTTTTAAACGGAATGTATTGACAATATATTTTAAAACTTTTGATTATAAAACTTTATTTGTATTATAGGCCTTTACAATAAACAGTTTTTTAAAATCATACAATTTTATTATTATATTTCAATAATTATAATTTAACAATAATATGAGGACAACCATAAAACACATATGACATGACTAAAGAGCGGAAAGAAATGCGGTAAAATCAAAATAACGGACATGATCAACTGCAGACAGAGATTTGCGAGGTGCTCTGAAAGTGAGAAACAGCCTCCAAAGTTTGATCGATCTACAGTATAAGGGAAGGTTCATAGCAATTCCATAACCAGGAAAAGCAGATTCTTACCAAAGCCATGAGTGATAGGAAGCATTATCTCTTGAAGGCCAACTCGAACTACCCGCTACTAAAACTACCTGGCCTGTAGTGAAAAGGAAAATAAAAGTAACAAATGAACAATTATATATATTAATAAATTTAGATTCTCTATGTTCAAATGTAAAATACCTTCAGCTCACCTCACGACATGATTATCTCTCAAAAAATAAATGTATCTAAATGGAGTATTGCTATCCTTATATTGTTAATACTGAATTATCCGGCATATCAATTATTGAATAAATCTAACCTTTCCATTGATATCCCGTCACGAAAGTAATGAAATGGTTAAAAGGGAATTTTCGAGATAGTTTGATGTATATTGGTATTTTCAATTTCATCACTTTTATAAATATCATTAGAACCAAAGAATAATTTTTAATTTAAAAATTCAAATTTTTTTTAGAAAAAGCAAGTTTAGCATAAATAAAATTAAAATGATAATATTATTAAAAACACGAATTATATTAATCTAGATCATATCAATTGATATATCATGTGATTGTGAGTGTTACTGACTGATCATACTGATCATCAATAAATAATTTTTTTTTTCAACTTGTTCCTAAAACAATATCAAAATGAATCTCTCATTTAATCAAGCCGAAGCAGGTACAGACATCTATGAGTGATATCCTTTTTTTTTGATTTAATACTAACATGACCTCCAATAGTTAATAAAGGCATACTTATCTCGAAGGAACGCGTCCAAAAAAACAATGTGTTTTTATCTAATAATGAAGCGTTATTAATCGCAGAGAGCTGCGACAAGTAGTGGAGTTATCTTATGTCCGGCGTACAGAAAATGGTGATAGATGAAAAAATAATTGAAAAGGTATGTGTTCTATAAAGAAAGAGCATGGGCGCTCCGAGCGGGTATCATTCCCGTTGTTGGCTTGGTATTGTTGGCTTGGTATCTGCAAACTTAAATGATAAACTTTTAATTCAATCCGTAAATACAAGAAATATCACAATCACGCCTATATGAAGATATGACAAAAGGCAATAGTAAATGAATTTAACGATTCCTTTATTGAACTCTTGGTTTATCCTAAAACCTTAACTTGAGTTA